AGGAGAGGTAGGGGGAAGGGAGAAACTGAAGGGGGCATCATGCAGGAAGGGAGGAACATGTGGGGGCTGGCCCCCTAGGATCAGGTGTACAATGGCACTTGCCCCAGACTGCAAACTCATAGCCCCCAGAGGCCAGATGAGGCATTAACAAGTGAGGCTGGCTGGCTGGGTGGGGTCTGGGGCAAACTCAAGGCCCCAGCCCTGTGTAAAGAAGAGCTGCTGCCAAGCTTCAGCCAGTAGCTGCCACTAAGGAATGTGGTCAGTGTTGCAGGCCTTCTGAGTTAGCAAGGGAAACTAGAAATCTGGGTTTTTACATAAAATCTCATGGTTTCAGACACTGGCCACTACACCAAAATAAATTTTAAGTAGTTCTATCAGTGCTCTGGACTCACTGCTGTGTGGCCCTGAGCAAACCACTTAACCTCTCTGGCCTTCAGCTGTGGCATTTGTAAAATAACACATTACTTTGACAATGAGAAAGACACACTTTCCCATACTAATGATAATAAAAAGCAACAGTAACAATGCTGATGGACATTGCTATGGGGTGGTGGTGGGGACTTCATAATATGGGTGAATGCAGTAACCACAATGTTGCTCATGTGAAACCTTCATAAGATTGTATATCAACGATACCTTAATAAAAAATTTTTTTATTTAAAAATTTTTTTAAAAAGGCAACAATAACAATAACAGCTAATGGTCACTGAGCACAAGGCACTGTACTAAGTAAAATGAATTAACCTCACTTCATTCATGTCATTAGATAGCATTTTTCAAGCTTTGTATTTTGAAATACTTTTAAATTTTCAGAAAAGGTACAAGTACAATGAACTCTCCTATATTTTTTATCCAGATCTGCTAATTTGTACCATTTTGCCTGACCTTTATCTGTTTCTCTTTAATATTTGATAGTGGATTGCTCATACTGTGCCCTTCTATCCCTAAATACTTCAGTGCGTATTTCCTAAGAACAAGGAACCACATAGTTATCAGGTCATTTAATATTGGTGCAGTACTTTCATCTACAGTCTATACCCAGTTTCATCAACAGCTGTCCAAAAATGTTGGTTGTAATGTCTCTTTGGTCTCCTTTAATCCAGAATCGTTACTTTGCCTTCAAGATATTTTTATTGTCCCCATTTTATAGATAAGAAACTAAAGCTCAGAGAGGTTGAAGCACTTGCCCAAAGTCACACAGCTAGGAAATGGGGAGCTGGGAGACTCAAGTCAGGGCGCTTCTTTCCAGAGCCTCTGTTCTTGTCTTTAAAGTATAACAGCTTGCAAATAATAGCCTTTGTTGTTCAAAACTGAAAACAGTGGCTGTCTGCAAACATCAGGAAAGCTGCCTACAGCCACCTCACTCAGCAGGTGGTCATTAACTGAAGGCATCACCTCCTGCTGCCAGCAAACCAAACCTGGCAAGGGCCTGGCCCAGTGCCCACCACCCCACCCTGCAGGGCCCCATTTAGACCCTCTATACAAGCAGAGGGACAGAGAGCAGTGGAGGCTTGGAAGGAGTACCTTTCTTTCTGCCTTTCTTTCCTCCCACCTAAAATGACAGTCCAGGCTCAAATACCCATGTCCAAAAAGCACAGGAAGGCAACTACCCCAGAAACAAAGCCTAAAGTCAGAAGGACCCCCAGGCCATGTCCGTGACCCACAGACCACCAGTGCTGAATGGGACTGAGGTCAGCTGTCCAAGAGGGGACTGAGTACTTTCTAAGCCATATGACAGGGTTGCACTGGAAGGAGGAGTTTACAGGAGGGAGGAACAACAGCGAGGGCTGGGAGATGGGAAAGGTGTTCTCCCAGCAGAGAGCAGAGAGGACTCAGGGGTCACACAGCCCATGGTATTATAAAGAGGAGGAGCCTCTGGGCTTATCCCCCAAACACAGCTTCTTTGTGAGGACCTACAGGGATGCGGCCCACTCCCCTTGGGGCTTGAAGCCCCTACTCCCAATGCCAGCCCAGGCCAGGCAGCATCAGCTTAGAAAATCACTCTCTTTGGTTCCCAAATGGGTGTGGCTCAGGGCCTGGAGGCCGCCACCAACACTGTGCCCTTCCCGTGAGGGGCCACTGTCTCTCCTGGTTCCCATCCACCCGCCAGCCAGCCCCCCTCAGAGAGCTCTCCAGCCACCGGCCATGGCCATGAACCACAGACACCCCAGACCCCTAGCCAACAAACAGCTCTGCATCAGACAGATTAGGATGTCATTCTGTCTCTGTTCCAGGCCATTTTGTTAGGTTTTGAGGCTGATTTGTGCTGAAATATCTCAAAATCCTGGGACCTTCCCACTGGACACTGTTAAAATGGGATGTCAGCCTCTGACTTCACTTGCAACCCAATTCCAAGTTTCAGAAGAAGAGCTGCTCTTAAAGATTTTTCCAGAACAAAAAAAATAGTTTTGCTTTTCTTCCTCACTGTAAACAATTTTAACACATAAAACATGAATAAATAAGAAAACTATCTATCAACAAACTCTCAATGAAGACCCCTCCCCATTTGTCCTTCTCCAGTGCCCAGCGCACAGAATGGCTGGGTGAGCCTCTCTCTACAGAGGTGTGTGGGGTCAAGGTGCAACCATTTTTCTCCCCTGCTGGCCAGTGGACTTAGGAGGGCAGGGACCACACCTAACTTGTCTCTCTGCCTCCTGCCCGGGTAGAGGCAGGTCACCCTGGGTGGAGTTAGCCATAGAGCCCACATAAGCCACTTCCCCACTTCAGCTGTCCCTTTGTGCCCAGATATAGAGGAAGGAGAGCAAAGAGCATCCCTGGGTATGAGGTAGGGACAGGAAAAGGGAGAGGTAGTAGGTGCATGGGCAGGCAACATGTTTTGCCCTTGGGGGCATTTAACCTGACCACTTGGGACTCTGCCTGTTGTGTTGGCATCAAGCTCCCAATGTATACTCAAATGGACTCCACCAGAACCATGCCAGACAGGGCGGGAAGACCAGGAGGACAGGCCCTGGTACCAGCCCCAGGCCAAATTTGCCACAAGACCTTTGGTGACCTCAGCTTTCCCACCTGTAAATGGGGCTGACCTTTCCCACCCTAACTTACAGGATCAAACAATACACGGGCTGTGCAGTGGCTCTGTAAGCCACCTGGTTTCAAAAATTGGAGGACTCCCACCTCTCCCTGCCCTCCTTCATAAAAGGCCCAAGAGCAAACAGCCTTCAAAGACAGACCAGATGGGACCACTCTAGACACAGCCCCACCACCAGAGACAGCTGCAATCCTGACCTTAAAGGCTCTGCTTCTAGTAATGGCCCTCCACCTCTCATCTCCACCTTTGGCTCTGGAACTCAGGAAGAACATGAGTTCCTGGCCTTTGAGGGAGGAGACCCAGGAGAGAACAACTCTGAGCCACACTGAGAAAGGCTGCTGCATCTCACCTCCAGCCAGGGTCAGCTACTACCTTGGCCCATTTCCTTCACGTGAAAGGTTTAGGTTTGAGGTTTCCCCCCTCAGGAGATCCAAGTCAGGGGCCAGTGCCTTGCACACTCTCCCATCCACACAGCCTCTTAACTGGCAGGGATTCCTGCTCCCCTACTCTTGAGCTAATTTTACTTTAAACAGACTATTGTGCAGCCCCCCTGCCTTGTCCAAGTCTCGGAAACCTGACGAACCAGCCCCTCTCTACCACAGCAAGCCAACAGGCCTTCCATCGGACGGTCCGAAGTGCACACAGACTTGTGTCCCTGTCAGGTCTCAGTCTCGCCCCCCGGAAACTGGGGTTGGGCTACAGACTGGGAAGCATCTCCCCACAGCGCCCGAGGAAGCGGCCAACTGAGAAGACCCACCCCAAACCTGGCGAGGGGAAAGAGCAAGAGTGGACGGGAGGGCGGGGGCGGTTCCGCGGGTCTGGGTGCTCGACGGCCCGGCACCCCGCCTCCACCCGAGGTCTGGAGGCAGGCCGAGAGGGGCCCAGCCGAGGCCGCCCGGCCCCACACCCACCCCTCCAACGGTGGGGAGCGGCCGCGCGGGGCGAGGTCGCAGACACCACTACACCGCGGGGCCCGCGGATTCCCCGGGCGCGCGCATCCCGGGCTCCGACCCGCCGCGCCGCTCCCCTCCCGGCCGGGGTCCCATGCGCCCCGCGCTCACCTGCCGCCGCCGCCCCCGCTCCGGCGCCGCTGCAGCCTCCGCCCGAGAGCCGCGCCGGCCACGGGCGGGATCCCGCTGTACGGGCGGGGGCGGCGGCGAGGCCGCAGGCGCCCCCCGCTGGCCGCCAGGGCCAGCAGCCGGCCGAGGGGCTGCCCCAGACGCCCCGGCCCCCATTCAGGCGCCTGCGCACCGCCGCGATCCATTTTCACCAGAAACGATGGAAACGCAAACATCCAATCTCCGCCGCCCGCCTACCCCGTTGGTGTGGAAGAGAGCGGCCAGGCACCGCTAGAACGTGAGTAGGAAATAAAATCTTTTTGAAAAGTGTTTTTCGCTCAGTGCCACGCACGTGTTTGAATGCTCCAGGTGCTGCCCCACTCCCAGAGGGAAACACTTTTTAGCAAACTTTCAGAAGTTTATGCTCCAGATTACCCCCCTCTTGTAGCGACCATTTCTAGAAAGATCCATAGACTGCAGACTAATGATCTCCTGCCAAGATGAGCGAAGTTTAAATCGAAACCTTCTGTCTCAGGCTTTAAACTCGGGAGTGCACGGGAGTCCAGAGTGGGGAGCCGCTCCCCAAGCACCCTTCTCCACTGGCACCAGGAAGACAAAGCCTGCCTAAGTAGGTGTCCTCAGATGGTAGGTGCTGTAACCTCGTCATGACCCCATTCACTGCTGCCTACAAGCAGGGTCGGGCCCCAGAGTTGGCAGCAAAAAATCTGCCCTGCTTCCGAGGGTGCGTGAACAAGAAAGCACTCCTCTAGGAGTCACCACGAGGAGGGACAAAACAGACTGGTGGAGGGGTAATCAAGATCAGGGGTGCGTTTAACTCACGAGCCTCTCCCACTTGTCCAAAGCGCCCTTACGCCTTACTTGTCCATACCGACCCCGCCTTGGTTCCCGCAGCCTCTGGGCATCCAGATGGTGGCACTTGGCCTACTGTGCTAGAGCTGCTCCACTCTCCTGGTGAGAACACTGCTGCACCCTGAGGGTTCACAGGGCAAGGTTGGAGCAGCTGGGACTTCCCTGCGCTGGGAATGGGATCACTGCAGCCGATGTGGACACACCTAATCCTCATCAACGCCAATCTCTACACTGGGCTCCGCCTACTCCATGCAGCCCCGCCCCTCAACAGAACCCAGGAAGTGAAGGAACCCGAAAGTCTTCCCCAAGGCGTCAAGAACAGTGAGTGTCTCAGGCCCCAGGCGGTGTGCCCTGCCAGCCAATATCAACCCTGGAGAGAGTGAAGTGGGGCACTGGGCAGGCTTTAAACTCGGGAGTGCACGGGAGTCCAGAGTGGGGAGCCGCTCCCCAAGCACCCTTCTCCACTGGCACCAGGAAGACAAAGCCTGCCTAAGTAGGTGTCCTCAGATGGTAGGTGCTGTAACCTCGTCATGACCCCATTCACTGCTGCCTACAAGCAGGGTCGGGCCCCAGAGTTGGCAGCAAAAAATCTGCCCTGCTTCCGAGGGTGCGTGAACAAGAAAGCACTCCTCTAGGAGTCACCACGAGGAGGGACAAAACAGACTGGTGGAGGGGTAATCAAGATCAGGGGTGCGTTTAACTCACGAGCCTCTCCCACTTGTCCAAAGCGCCCTTACGCCTTACTTGTCCATACCGACCCCGCCTTGGTTCCCGCAGCCTCTGGGCATCCAGATGGTGGCACTTGGCCTACTGTGCTAGAGCTGCTCCACTCTCCTGGTGAGAACACTGCTGCACCCTGAGGGTTCACAGGGCAAGGTTGGAGCAGCTGGGACTTCCCTGCGCTGGGAATGGGATCACTGCAGCCGATGTGGACACACCTAATCCTCATCAACGCCAATCTCTACACTGGGCTCCGCCTACTCCATGCAGCCCCGCCCCTCAACAGAACCCAGGAAGTGAAGGAACCCGAAAGTCTTCCCCAAGGCGTCAAGAACAGTGAGTGTCTCAGGCCCCAGGCGGTGTGCCCTGCCAGCCAATATCAACCCTGGAGAGAGTGAAGTGGGGCACTGGGCGTGGGGTCCTGGTGGGGCTTCTCTCAGCACTCACTTCTGACTTGTTCAAGCAGTGTTGGGAGCCCTCAGCCCTTCGCAGTGTGTGGAAGATGGGGAGCGATGCCATGCTTTCCCACCCTATCGTGTGTGTGTCATCTTTAGGCAAATCTATGACCACCTCTCCTGACAGCAGACAAGAAAACAGAGCTGGAGAAAGTGAATAAAACACAGTTCTTCCATCAGTGCTCACCACTGACTGCCAGCACAGCTCCACCATCTGTGCTGTGGTCATCACAGCTGCCAATGCCTTTTTGCACGCTCAGTCCTCAGTGACCCTCAGCCTGTAGCCAACATCAGAATCTCCCAGAGGCCTAGTGAAGGCACACACTGCCCGGCCCCACCTCCAGCTTCTGATTCAGCAGCTCTGGCGTGCCTCCTAAGAATTTTAACTTCTACCAAGCTCCCTGGTGGTGCCGATGCTGCTGGTCCTCAGGCTGGTGTGGGTAGCAAGGCTCTACAGCACTGCTCTCCATATACGGTTGGAGTCGCTCTCCCAGAGATTCTGATCCTGGGAGGAGCCTACCAAAGGGCAACATTAAAAAACCCAGGTGAGTTTAGTTAGTAACAAGGATGGCACATCAGGAGGGAAAAGTGCATAGTGTTGGTTGAACTGGCTTCCATTTGAGGAAAAACTCAGATACCACCTCACACCATAAAACAACAATAATTAACCAGTAGATTAAAGATCTTTGTGCTTGAAAGCAAAACTTAGAAAATATTTTAGGAGTTTTGAAGTCTGTATAGGCAATCAAATCCACACTGTAACAGTTGAATGTGTCTTGCCAATGGGTTTCAGCCCCAGGCAAGTTCGCTATGGATTCAGTGTGACCAAAGAAAATGACAGCAAAACTTTCTTGGGGTGAAAGGGTTATACCCAACTTTATTTCCAGGTGGCAGGTCAGTCACTAGAATCCCATTCACTCAGAGCAAGTCTGTATGCAGCAAGCCAGTCTCTGCCTCTGGGCCCCTCTGTCTGCACAGCCGTCCTCTGGGCCTCTGTCCTCAACACTGCCACCACTCCAGCCTCTGCTCTGCTCTCCTGCAGCCTTGCAGCTGTGCCACCGTGTGGCACCCAGAGCATTGGGCGGAGCTCTTTTTATAGATTCAACAGCCATGTATTGCTCACAGGTGTGCAGTGAGCTAGTCAACCACAGCCAGGTGAGAATCCTGGCCACAGGAACTCTTTTTATCCACAAATGTCTCTGCCCAGGTGAACAGGTCTTGAAATGTTCATATCTAGTTTGCGATTCTAGTTATTGGTGTGTTGGAAAGCTCAAGAGCTTGTTAACTACCCCAGGGGCAGTGTCCACTATGGGAAGGCCAGTGTCTGCTGCTAGAGAACCATTCGCATTTGTTGCCTAAGTGAATTTCTGTGGTAGACAACAGTTCAGAGACCTTGTTTCACTTGTGCACGGAGATTTAAAAACCTAAAATAAATCACTACAACAGAAGCTATGGTTTATTTATTTCAGCAAACTCAACCCTTCTGTTTAGCAGGCAATGGGAACTCCAGCCAAGCAGGATGGCACTCCAGTTTACAGAGGTTGATACTTGTCATTTCAGTCTAGAACAACTTCACTCATCACTATGTGGAACAGTGTTAGCCTTCCCAGCCAGATGGCCTTTGTTGCTTACTCCTAAGGAGAAAGGAGCTTCCTTCTTTTCCCTCACTTCCTCCAGGACTGCTCAGTACCTGTGGATGGGCTAGGCAGCTAATGATTTTTAATAAGACAGGGGATGTGTACTTCACAGTAGAAAATGAAAAACCCAAATTTATGAAGAATTAGAAATCTCCTGTCCTCTCCTTTCATGCCATTCCCTGACATAACTCATATTCAAGGCTTGGGATTATTTTCTTTCTGTACTGTTCTCCCTGACAATCCAATTTTATATTAGAAAATGGCCAGATTAAATCATTGTGCTGTACACATTACACTTAGACAGTTCTGTATGTCAATTATGTCTCAATAAAACTGGGTTGGGGGGTGGGGACTGACCAAAAGATGGTGGATGGAATTCAGTATCTACTCATGCTGCCTCCTTAAACCCAAGAAGACAGCAATGAAGGGATTTTTTTTAAGGTCCATAAAAATGGAGAAAATGAGCAAGGAAGTAACAGCAACACAAATTTGGAAGGTGGGAAGCAGGTAGGTCAGGGGTACTGAACTAGGAGACACAAGAAACTGACTTAAAACTGGCAGCTGGGAAAACTAAGAATCAACCCGAGTTATACTGGGTAAGCTCCAAGGAGTCAAATTGAAAGCAGCAGGTAGCTCAGGAAGCAGGGTAGAGATAAATTACAGTAGGTAGTTGAAAATCTAAGCAGTTAAGAGTGCCAATCTCTCCTCCACCCCTATCCACCACCACACCATTGGGTAACTGCCTCACCTCATCCAAGCACTATGCAGTGTTTTTCTCTGGGAAAGCTGAAATAGAGTGGTGTTGACTGGGCCACACCAAGCCCAGCTGCAGGACAAGAAATTTAAAAGGCAAATTTATTTGAGAAGCTGAGACATACCCACCCCCTAAGCCAACCCTCTTCCTCAGCTCCTAGGATGTTGGCAGCCAGGTCTCCACCTCCAGGATGAGTATCCCCACCAGTCAAGTCCTGAAGATCCTCTCACTGCCATCAGGCCTGTGGGGAAGCACAGCTGCCTACTGTACTGAGCCACAGAGGATCCCACCAGCTTGTTAGGCCCCATTCTTACACATGTGCAGGCAAGCAAAAACATCACGAATCTGAGGAAAGCCTCTAACCCCAAAAAACAGTCCACAACAGCAAAAATGAGAAAAAATTCAGAGACTGTGGAAGCAAAAACTTAACTATCATTAGTATCTTCAGAGATTCAAAAAGATATTGTAACCCTGAAACCAAAAAGGATACAATTTTTTAACAAGGAAGATCTGAGGACAACAAACTCAGACATGAAAAAACCCGATAGCAGAAATGAAAAACCCAACAGAGAAGGGCTGGAGGATAAAGTTGAATAAAAAGTCAGAGATGGAAAATAGAGAAAAGATAAGAAAACAAGAGGATCAGTCCAGGAGACCAGCATCTGAATAACTGTGGAGAGCCTGAGAAAACAGAAAGGAGGGAAATAAGAATTCAGGAAGATTTCCCAGTACTAGGACATGCGGCACCAATTGAAAGGGCTCATACCATCAAACACCCAGGACAACAGATAAAACAGACCCACTTAGTTTCCGTAACAGTGAAATTTCAGAACACCGGGAATCAGAGAAGATTGTCAACGTTGCAAGAGGAAAAGAAAAGGCTACAACTAGCCTTTCTCACAACACTGGGAGTGCTGAAGCAATGATTTCAATTCTGGAGGAAAAATGTTTTACAAGCCACATTTCTATATCCAGCCAAATTATCAATTGAGCCTAAAAGAACAGGCATTTCAGATGTTTATTGCCTAGGCATACTTTCCTGGGAAGTGCCTGGGGAATGTGCACGAATGAGGGAGTTTATCAAAAGGAGGGAACAAGGCATAGAGAAAACAGGCACTGCACACGAGCTGAGTGAAAGGGGCCTCCAGGTGGAGGTGGAGGGACTGGGGTGACTGGGCACAGCTACTCAGGCTCCGGGAGAGATGCCTCGGAGATGTGCTTGAGCATTTGGAGAGGCTTAGAAAACTGGCAGAGTTTAGGGTGAATAAGTATATGGAAAACTAAGAACAAAAACTCCAGGATAAACAAAAAATGTGTACAGAAAAAGGAATTATACATCTTGAAAAAAGCATCTATGCAGTCTTAAGAAGGTAAATGCTAAATGTTTCACTAAACAAAATTCAATATAACTCTATTGGGAAGCTGGGCACAGAAAGAGTTCAGGGGTGGTGGGAAGTCAGTACAAAATACCAAGAACTAAAAATCAAGAAATGGCATTAGAGGGATATTATTTAGAGACATGGAGGTAAACACTCCACGTCTGCAAACATAACACCAAAAGTTGGAAGTGGCTGCCTCAGGAGCAGGAAGAGAGCAGAGGGAGGAGATGGGA